GGCGGGTGTGGTGGCTCACACCTGTAATTCTAGCACTTTGGAAGGCTGAGGCGTGTGGATGACCTGAGGCCAGGAGTTCCAGACCAGCCTGGTCAACACGGTGAAACCCTTTCTGGACTAAACCCTGTCTCGACTTCTCTTCTAAGTGCAGTAACTCAGTAATGGAAAACCAAATATCGTATGTTCTCACTCATAAGTGGGAGCTAAGCTATGAGGATGCAAAGGCATAAGAATGACACAATGGACTTTGGGGACTTGGGGAAAGGGTGGGAGGGGAGTGAGGCATAAAAGACTACACGTTGTGTACAGTGTACACTGCTCCTGTTGACAGGTGCATCAAAATCTCAGAAGTCACCACTAAAGAACTTATCCATGTAATCAAACACCACCTGTTCCCCAAAAACTATTGAATTTTTTTTAAAGGCTAAAGTAGATGCCCTTCCAGGAGGGAAGTCCAAAAACATGTACTCAGAGGCAAAATCATTGCAGAGGACGGAGATGATAAGACGACTGAGGCTAACTCCCTCTTCCAGGGACCTAACCTCATTTAAGCGACTTAAATGAGCCTGTAAGGTTAAGGGATTTAACCTTAACTTAATTCTAAAATTAGAATTTTTATTCTAATTTAAGGGTGTGTGGGTGCGTGTGTTCCTTACAGCACTATTCACAATGGCCAACCTGTGAAATCAACCTCAGTGTCCATCACTGGATGAATGGATAAAGAAAATGTGGTACATATAACACTGTGGAATACTATTCAGCCTTAAAAAAAGAATGAAACTCTGTCATTTATGACAACATGGGGGAACCTGTCATTATGCTAAGGAAAATAAGCCTGGCACAGAAAGACCAATGACACATGATCTCACTTCTATGTGGAATCTCAAAAAGTTGCTCTCATAGAAACAAAGGGTAGAATGATGCCTGCTAGGGGCTGGCCAGTGTGGAAGGGATTGAGAAGATGCCGGTTGAAGGATACAAAATTTCGATTTGACAGGAGAAATAAGTTCAAAGACTGTATTGCACTTGTGGTGACTATAGTTAATAAGAATGTATTTTAGAATTCAAAATTATTGATAATATCTATTCAAAGTTCTCATCACAAATAGGTAAGTGGATGAGGTAATGTGCATTAGCATGATTGAGCCATTCCAAAATCCAGGCATATTTCGAAATACCAAGTTGTAGAGCATAAATCTATACAATGTTTATATGTCAGCTTTTTTGACTCAAGGGACAATAAAAAAAGAAAAAGAAAGTTTAAAAGGAAAAAAATTAAAAAGAAAAATGAATTTAAAAGAATAAAAGAAAGAAAAAATAAAAATAAAATAATAATACAAAAAAGATGAATACATGCAATTTATTGTTACTCACAATTTTTAAAAAGTCAGGTTGCAGTGGTTCACACGTGTAATCCCAGCTCTTTGGGAGGCTGAGACAGGAGAATCAGTTCATCACCAGCCTGGGCAACATAGTGAGACCCCATCCCTACAAAAAATGTAAAAATGAGCTGGGCGTGGTGGTGCATGCCTGTGGTCCCAGCTTCTCTGGAGGCTGAGGTAGGAGAATCGCTTGAGCTCAGGAATTCAAGGCTGCAGTGAGCTGAGATCACACCACTGCACTCCAGCCTGGGCTACAGAACGAGACCCTGTCTCAGAAGAGAGAGAGAAAAAAGAAAAACAAGCAGAAAAAAAACCCAATAAGGAATTACCAAGTAATGGAAAAGTGGAAGTTGGGGAAAGACCTGAACTGAGGAAAAAAAGAACATGGAATCTGAGGACCACGTGAGTCCACTTCACAATTCTGCCGAGTGCCGGCTGAGGTCAGATTTTCTTAAGGAAGCATGTAACCCTCTTCTCAGCATATCCCTACTCAGTTATTAGGTAATGAACATTGGACCTGTGGATTCCTGATTCAATTTCTATCTCATCTCTACACATGTTTCAAAACCCACTTCAAATATCTCCTCTGAGAGGAAAAGTACAAACAGCAGTTCATCCCTACTGGCTCTCAGAGTCCATTATAAACACTCTGAAACCATGGTAGCCACAGAAGACGACAATTTTTTTTGCTTTATGCAAACATCTCCTCAAAGACTGAGAACATCCTGCAGGCAAAAGCTACATGCGCAGGACTGTGGGCCAAATCCCAAGTTACAGAAATGCTTTTCTTTTGTGAGAAGTTAGTTGAATTGTTTTATCACCCCCTGTTTTTACAGTACTTTAAAATCATATACACGGCCGGGCACAGTGGTGGCTCTCACCGGTAATCCCAGCACTTTGGGAGGTTGAGGTGGGAGGACTGCTTGAGCCTAGGAGTTCAAGACCAGCCTGGGCAACATAATGAGGACCTGTCTCTCCAAAAAAATAAAAATAAAAAATTAGCTGGGTGTGGTGGTGAGCACCTGAGGTCCCAGCTACTCTGGAGGCTGAGGCTGGAGGAACTCTTAAGCCCAGGAGTTGGAGGTTGCAGTGAGCTATGATTGCAGCATTGCAGTCTACACTGGGTGACAGAGCAAAACCTTGTGAAACTCTGTCTCCAAAATAAGTAAAAATAAAAATAAACTCATAGGTATCTGTTGGAAATTTACAGTTTATATTTATATCAACTGCCTAACTCTCTCCTATCTTTTTTTAAAAAATCACACACTTACTAAGTCCAAAGAATGAACTTAGACATCTTATAGCCAGCCATGTAAAAACAGCATGTTGACTTATAGTAGGTTACAAGAAAATAAAAAGAAAAAAGAAAAAAAGACAGATGATATCAAATACCACTATCTGTAAGGCTGAATTCACAAATACACAAAATTATACAGTAGATTCAATGTGCTCACAATATAGTGTATGACTTTACCTACATGACCCTCATTGTGCAGCTCCGAGGACCTTCCTGTTGTCTTTGGCAAAAGACGTAGGATTAAAAAGACAAAAAAAAAAAAATGTGTCATTCATGTGTTGATTAAATTAGTTCCCAGCATAAAATTCCCACTAGACTTGGGAGCCATATCCCTAATTCCAACGTTTTAAAATTGATTTTCCGAGGCCACTACTGCATGAGTCCTGAACTCTCAATGAGTTCATTCTTTTGACCCATTTTTTTTTGACAGGGAGTCTTGCCCTGGCACCCAGGCTGGAGTGCAATGGTGCGATCTCGGCTCACTGCAACCTCCTCCTCCTGGGTTCAGGCGATTCTCATGCCTCAGCCTCCTGAATAGCTGAGATTACAAGCATGCACCACCACGCCTGGCTAATTTTTGTATTTTTAGTAGATACGGGGTTTCACCATGTTGGCCAGGCTGGTCTCGAACTCCCTACCTCAAGTGCTCCTCCTGTCTTTTGGTCCATTTTTAAAAGAACTCCTTGTGGCTGGCCGTGGTGGCTTATGCCTGTAATCCCAGCTACTTGGGAGGCTGAGCCAGGAGTATTGCTTGAGCCTGGGAGGCAGAGGTTGCAGTGAGCTGAGATTATGCCACTGCACTCCAGCCTGGGCAACAGAGTGAGACTTTGTTTCAAAACAAAACAACAAACCAAGCAAACAAAAAAAAAATCCTGCTACCCCAAGTCCTGGGGCTCTTGAATGAATTGTCTCAGTGGCAAAACCTGCCCTGAAACATGCTGGCACTAGGGAATTGTCTCAATGTCCTGCCAAGTCCAAAGTTGAAACTCAGAAAGCCTCTGCGTCCTGAATAATAAAAGAGGTAGTTACTCAAATTGAGCTGCCTCTTTTTTGACTGCATTAATCCAAGTTCAAAACCACTGAATGACTAATGATGGCATTTAATTGGCAGTGGCAAGGGGTTAGGACTAAGGGATATGACAGCAAAATGCGTTACAATGAAAGAAAAGCCCATCTTCAGTCTGCAAAACTACCCATAGTTGTACCTTAAAATAACACTAAGAACAAAATACAAACTAATTCCTCCAAAGTGTGGCTACTTTGGCCACAGACTACACACACACACACACACACACACACACACACACGTTCTTGGTTAAGAAAGAAAAAGTAGAGAGGGAGCGAGGGAAGAAAGAAGAGAAGGTATGAGCGTGACAGAAAGAGAAACTTACCCACACTAAAATTGGTTTGGAATCAAGATCAATGCCTTAGCTACTCCATTAAGTTTCAGAATAAAAGGTCAAAGGATCTTTCAACTCTGCCCATTTCAACAAGAGGTTAAAAAATAAGACTGAAAAAATGTATAGGAACAAGCCTTTCCCAACTTACCTATTAGTCATAGTGTCTCTCTAATATCTTAGAAGAGAACAGACAAGCTGTTCATAGACAGGCCGTTCGGCAAAGACTTTGCCTCTTCTGGCAGCCGCCTCGAATCATACAAAAGCGTTAGCCTCTCTCCGTCCCACCTCCCTCTGCCACAGAAGGGCTGGTCCCTGCTCGGCTCACCCAGATGATGCACGTTGATAATGTACAAATGAGGCAATCTGCACCTGCATTTGCAACTGTTACTACACGTCCAGGAAGAGAAAAGCAAAAAACAGCAGCACACCAACAACAAAACATTACATTCAGCAAAACACCTACAGCCTGTCTTGCTGATGCTGAATGTTCTTACCTGTGACAAGCACCAAACCCATTCATCACACCAGGATTCAGACTGGCTCTTTTGAGCCAGAGTAATCATGTCCCTTGCATTACAGTGATCTCATGGTCTATAGCAGTGGTTCAGGGACATCTGTGCTCTCAATTAAAGGTGGCGGGGGAGTGGGGAATGGAAGGTCTTCCCTGTCATTATACCTTAATATTTAACAAGACTGGCACAGTGACTCACACCTGTAATCCCAGCACTTTGCTGGGCCGAGAAGGGCTGATTATCTGAGGTCAGAAGTTTGAGAATAGCTTGAACAACGTGGTGAAACCCCATCTCTACTAAAAATACAAAGATTAGCCAGGCATGGTTGTACGTGTCTATAATCTCAGCTACTCAGGAAGCTGAGGCAGAAGAATTGCCTAAACCCGGGAGGCGGAGGTTGCAGTGAGCCAAGATTGCACCATTGCACTCCAGCCTGGGTGACAAGAAAGAAATAGCATCTCAAAAAAAATTCAACAAGACAAAGTGTGGGGAATAATTTGGAAAATCGTAGGTGTACTGTTCATCAACATCCTGCCCCAAATGGATGGCTATTATATTAAACAACACTCCCAGCATTTTAAATAAAATTTGAGAGTATCAGAGGGCATGTGTAACTCTCTCTCAACAAAACATCATTTTTTTGAGATGGAACACTCTATTAAACATGCTATTGTATGATTTCATAAACTCTAGGAACCAGATTTTTTTTTTGAGACTCGGTCACTCTCTGTTACCCAGGCTGGAGTATAATGGTGGTGATCACAACTCACTGCAGCCTTGACTTTCCAGGCTCAAACGACCCTCCTGCCTCAGACTCCCAAATAGCTGGGACTACAGGCACCCACCAGTCCATGGATAATGTTTGTATTTTTATGTAATCTCACCATGTTTCCCAGGCTAGTCCCAAACACCTGGGCTCAAGCAATCCTCCCATCTTGGCCTCTCAAAGTGCTGGGATTATAAGCATGAGTCACTGTGCCCAGGTGCATTTTCAACCCGAACAATAAAATACAAAGAATAAAAGTGTCTGGAATACAGATTCCCATGGCAGCTCATGACAGTCGGTGTGCAGTCTCATTGGTGAATTAGTTTCTCTGCTTTCTACGGATTCCTCTTACCCCAGCTTCTAGGACTCTCTTGATTCATTCTGTTTCTCCGTGGAATGAGTGTTCACTTTGAGAACTTCTTTCAGAATTCCTACTTATAATTCCCAGAAATGTTTTCCACCTTCGTGCACCTGCTCATGGCAAAATCTTGGTTTCTAAAGAATTTACTAATCTCTTTTTTTTTCTTTTTCTTTTAGAGACAGGGTCTCATTCTGTCACCCAAGCTGGAGTGCAGTGGTATGGTAGTAGCTCGTTGTAGCCTCAGCCTCCTAAGCTCGAAAGATCCTCTAGTTTTAGCTTCTGGAATAGCTGGAACTATAGGCATGCACCACTGCGCCTGGGTAATTTTTAAATTTTCTATTATTTTTTTTGTAGAGATGAGGTCTCTCTATGTTGCCCAGGTTGGTCTTGAACTCCTGTCCTCAAGGAATCCTCCTGCGTTGACCTCACAAAGTGCTGGGATTATAAGTGTGAGCCATCATGCTCAGCCTAGATTTACTGATCTTGATATGTTCTGCCTTTTCTGATTCCCTTTTACGTTGACAAAAACAGCAAGTAGCACGCCTGTGGTACCAGCTACTCAGGAGACTGAGGCGGGGGGTGGCTTGGGGCCAGAAGTTCTGGGCTATGGTGTGCTATGCTGATCGAGTGTCCACGCTAAATTCAGCACCAACATGGTGACCTCCCAGGAGCAGAAGACCACCAGGCTGCCTAAGGCCAGGTGAACACAGGCTAAGTCACAGATGCGGCAGGTCAAAACTTCCATGCTGATCAGTAGTGGAATCATGTGTGTAAATAGCCACTGTAGTCCAGCCTGGGCAACACAGCAACACAGCAAGACCCCATCTCTTAAAGAAAAAAAAAAAGAGAAACAGTAACATAGCCACATTTAGCTCAATTCTAAACTACGGTTCACGCTACCTAAGTAGTCATGCTTGTTTAATGCAATAATGCCATGGCACAAAACTGTCTTAAGGGCAGGAAAGTAAAACACTAAAATGCACGGTGAAAAGGAACAAACCTTTGACCAAACCAGGTAGTGTTTCTTGAGTTGTGTCGGTCAAAGGCAGTCCTCTTAAAGGCCATGATTTGCAATGTTCTGGTGTCCGTTGAATAGTTGTGGGGGTAGAGGGCATGTGTCTGACTTGACCCAAACTGTTCAGAAACAGCACTTGCCTGCTATCTCTGAAAGACATAGATGAATCTTAATATAGTCCTCCAGTAGGACAAGAAATACATGGAAGACTTTATTGTCATGCTGGATATGGTGACCCACTCAAAATAAAGCTCCCCTAATTAAATTGATATCATGTTTGTTTTATCAAACTTTGCATTTCTTTTGAAGTGTAGCATCTGGCCAGGAAACAGAGTGAGATTGTAACAAATGCAATGCTTATCATCGACATGGCTAATTTACTGAAACCCTTGGAGTTCACTTATATCATGGGTGAAATCAAGACTGGTGTGTTATCTTTGCATAGCCTTTGATGTAAAGGTAACAACACTCCCTAGCCACATTCCCTGGACAATTTCAGCTGCCCCCTAATAAAATGTTCTGACTGTTACTCTTTGGCGTTATGGGATGAAGAGGGCTCCATAAACCATCTCAGTGATGTAGAATCAGAACCTCTCACTCTTCCAAGAGCTGAAGGGAGCATTTAAGTAACTCACAGATGATTAAGTGTCCTAGTAATGTCTGTCTCTGGGAAAAATGCCAATAAAATGTATGAGAGCAAAAGTGCTCCCTGAATTTCTGATGCAGGAGATAATTCTTGCTGAAGCAAAGCAAAACAAACTAACAGACACTTTTTTTTTTGTTTGTTTCTCGTTAATACAAATTTTGCTTAACAATATGCAGATTTGGAGAAGATACGACACATGTCATTTTGCAATAAGCAACCTGCTAGGGTGATTTTTATGAAAAAATATCCAGGGATCTGTCAAATGATGGGCAACTGACTCTTTTACCCCAAAGCCAGAGTTCATTTGTTCATGGAATATTTACAAAATGCCAGCTGAGCATCTGACCTCCAGGGTAGATTTTGTAGTCACAAGGAATGGAGTCAGAATAGCTCCTCTCTCAGCAGAGAGGATCAGTGTCAGTCGTGGCTACTAAAAAGTGAAATAAAGTGTTATAGACAACAAGCTGAATGTATCCTGGGCTGAAATAGACACAGGTTAGAAAGTGAAAGGAATTCTATCCAGGGTGATCAGAGGAGAATCATAGAAAAAGGTCAATGTTCTCCCATTTTCTAATAAAGCAGTCAGCCTCTCTACAAGAAAATTGAGTGAAGCACATTTCATTTAAGATTTAGATTAAAGTCAGCACTGCCTCCATCTATTTCAGGTTGGGTGGAGAGGGTCATTCTCTTTAACAAGATATTGTTTTGGTACAATCCAATATGTTCAATTGTTTCAAATGTCTAGACTAGACATTGAAATTAAGAATGACGTTGTAGCCAGGAGTGGTGGTTCACGCCTGTAATCCCAACACTTTGGGAGGTTGAGGCAGGCAGATGGCTGGTACTCGGGAGTTCGAGACAAGCCTGGCCAACAGGGCGAAACCCCTTCTCTACTAAAAATACAAAAATTAGCTAGGTGTGGTGGCACATGACTATAATCCCAACTATTCATGAGACTGAGACAGGAGAATCACTTGAACTCGGGAGGTGGAGGTTGCAATGAGCCAAGATCGCACCACTGCACTGCAGCCTGGGTGACAGAGGGAGACTTCATTAAAAAAAAAAAAAAGAAGAAGAAGAATGGTGCAACCTGGCACAGTGGCTCATGCCTGTAATCCCAACACGTGGGAGGTTGAGACAGGCAGATTGATTGAGATGTATTCATTGGAACAAATACTTGTGGAGAGAAAGTAGAGAGTTCAGAAAAGATAAAAATAGAACTAGATGCTGAGAAAGCCATATAATGTTGAGATTCACTTGGGGTGGCTGGCAAAGTATTAAGGGAAATATTAGGGAAATTATAGATTATAGTCTGAAAACTTTTGGAAGGCTCAACGGTTTTAATGAGATGGGCTGAAGGCAGCCAGTTCTTAACATTAGAGCATTAAGTCATAGAGTGAAGATTAGGGTAATAAAAGCTTCCCCAGTTAAGTCTGTTTACCCCACATTCCTTTGTCTCTACTCTAATTTGTTTACTCATGTAAACTTTGTGCTGGATAGCCCTCTTGCGGGGAGGTCAAATGGGAATTACCCGTTAATGGTATTTATTGTGGGCCCCGGAACCAAGACCTTTTATCATTCATAAAACCATTCTTTAGCCATATTAATTATCCACAAGTTGTTGACTTAGAACCTCTGTTATTAAATCTATACAGAATAAATGTGAGGAAGGACAGGAAGTAGGGTTGATTAGCTGCAATCGCCCTCTGAAAGCAGCTGACAAGCATCCCTAGCCCACTCAAATCACTGTACTGTGTGTGTGAGTGCACTTATTCATCCATGGCTGAGTCAGGGTCTACAGGACAGACCTCCACAGGTGGTGATCAACATCTCAGGTGGTGACCCCGACGTGATGCTCGTCACAGCTGGCACCCGAACAGGAACATCGACACAATGCCACAGCAAGTGCCCTGGTGTGAGGAGACCCGACCGAGTCATCATCACAGCAGGTGCCCAAATGTGGAGTGAACCAACATGATCATCACTGCAAGGAAGGAAAGCGGTGGACCCCCCAAAGCAGAAGCTGCAGAGACCGTGCAATCAGGTCAAGTAGTCAGTAAGTCAAGTAATCCCCCACTGGGGATTGCCAAGTTCAAGGAGGCATTGTTTCAGCCTAGGGATTCATCATGGGACAGCAGTTATCAGTGCAATAGAAAGAGTATCAGGCCTAATTGAAATAATTAATACAGATTGTTGCTTCCCAAAGCCCATGGTTTCCGGCAGACAGCACACTAGATGTAAAGCTCTGGGAACAAC